ACAAGTGAGGAAGAGCATTAAAATACCTTACACAAAAGCACCAGTAATTGTGCTGGAAGTCTGAAGGGAATTGCATATTCCGTGGGGAATGAAGTCCTTCCCCACTGAGATACAACCTATTGGGAATAATGACATAGCAGCTGAAGAAAGACACTCCAGATCATAAAACAGCACCACACTTAATGCCAAAATAATTTCGTTTCCTGAATTATGACAAATGACAGCATGTCTAATGGTCCTGAAGCAGTAAGCAGTCCCATAGTAGTAAAAATTAATGCCTCAGATTTCCTTTCCTTATTGCTTGTCAAGTGCATATCTGAGCAAGAGTTTACATGAGGATAAAGGAGAGCAACCAACAGCACAGGAGAATCGCTCCTTTGAGTGCCACAAACCCAAAAAAACAAATCGTGGATATTGAAATGAAGCCACACAGTGTTTGAGAACTGCTCTAGCTGCACCAAAAGTCATTTTGATACAGCTCCAGCTGCATCAAAAATGAATTTATTGTCTCATACTACATTTACAAAAGTTAAGTTCAAAATGCCTGTTCAAGTCCATAATTAAAAGCCAAACATCTCAATTCTCAATGCTACCACTATATAAAAAACAGAACAAAACACACAAACCAGCTGCCCAGCTCCCCCAGCATTGCTCCATTGCCCATTTCTGACATGGTGATGTACTCACACACTCCTTCTCCCATTTCATGGTTGTTTCTGTCACCACGCCTTGCAACCGTGCCTCCAGCCTACGCTTGTCAGAAGCCTCACGCTGCAGTTTCTGACTCTTGCTTTCCAGTTCTTGCTGAAGACAGCGCTTGTCTTCTTCGTAAATTGTCGCAGTTTTCCCCAAAATCTCAATCTGAAAGAAGAGAGGAAGGATTTGTCTACGCTTCTTAGAAGCATCACTAGGTAAGCCCAGAATTGCTGGTCGTATTTGACTGTTAACATACACTGCAATATATTAGCTGTTGTACAGATGTACCCAGATAAACAGTCATGCCAAAAAGTTTCAGAGATTCTACAACTGTCTTAGAAGTTGCCCATCTTAATGCATTAAGAAAAGCCTCACCTCACAGAAAGCCAAAAAGCTAAGAGTGCTCAGCAAAGTCCCCCACAAAACACTTTTATTCTTGTTCTAATACCCATCTTGCAAGCAACGTCTGATGCCAAGAAGCTTGCCAAATGCTCCACAGAAAATGCATTCTGTGCTTAGCTCTAGACAACGATAAAACTGACCTTGTATTCCAACGTTTTAATTTTCTTCTCCAGCCGTTCTAGCTCCGTTTTCTGTCCCGCTATTGTTTTCTCTTTTTCAGACAGTTTTCCTTGAATATAGTTTTCCTTGGATACAACGCTGGAGTCAAAGTCCTGCAGCATTGTTTTAAATGCAAGCACTGCAAGAGAATCAATATATTTTATCTTCTCACTTTATCTCCATAATAGCAAAAGCAGTTCTGTTTTCCTCCTACCAATTTAATGCTACCAGTTATCCCATTACCTCAAAAAAGGCTTTTTAAGTGATCAATCTAGACAGGATATTTATTTCCTGCTGGTACAGAACAGATCCCTTGAGTAGCAACAAGGGCGCCAGAAAAATCCAGCTCCAGACTGATGTTCAAATCCTTACCGTTTTTGGCAAACTCCTCTGTCAACATTTGTCGCAGTTTATGGCGTTTTTCCAGGACTTCAATAAGCTTTGGAAGTGTCTGATCATCGTTAACATCCAATAGCTCACACGAAGGCAACGGAGGAAAGTTCTGCAGAAATGTTTCTGAAACAGATTGCTCTTCTGTTTCTGTAAGGTTTAAAGCCAAGAAAGGCTGTCAGCAAGCTACAGAAGAGGAAAAAACCCATTTGACAACGCACAGCCACAGATCATTCATTCCACAGGACCACGAAGCAGACAGAATAATTAATAAGAACTAGAAGTTCTCAGAAGAGATGACAGTGTTGAGAAAAGATTAAATGTGACATTCTTGATTCATTGCTTTATATTACCTCCAGGCAAGTCTCAATTCCTAAAGTAGGCCCTAAGCACACAAAAACATCAAAGTATCAGCAGCAGCACAATTTCCTTTCAGGAGCTGCAATAATGGGACCACGAATTCCACTCATCACCAATAACAAAGAATTACTTGGAGACTTACACAGTAATTGGTGGTTTACACTACAAGCAGCACTGCAGTATGAAACAAGCAGCAGCTATCACAGAGAAGGCTCACAACTGCAGTGCAGTGAAGCTCCTTTTGCACTTTCCGGGTTCAAATAATTTGTTTTAAAATAGCCTTCAACTCCTAATAGGGGAAAAAAAACCCTGCTGTAATCTCCCAGCATTCCGATATTTACCTCCACTTATTGGGCCACCCCGCATCTCCAATCTCCGCGAGAGCTCCTCTCTGAAGGCCTGATTCTTAAAGCGCCGCCCGGGCGTTAAGCCACAGAGGGGTTTATCAACGGGTCTTGCAACTTCAACTTCCTGCGTCATCTCCGCAAAGCGCATGACTTGCTACAACAGAACAAAAGCAAGCTTAACAACAAAACTAACCAGCAGTGCAATACAAGTTTGAAAGCGGTATTGTTAGGTCAATAAAAGCATTAGAGGAGACATTAAGAAGCTATAATCTCCAGTAGTTCCCAACTAGATGGCTTCGATTCTGGAGCAGAGCACTCAGAAACCTGCCCTGTAACACCTCCCTGACCTCAGCCCTCAAGGAACCAGGAAACCAAGTGTGCAGGTAGCTGAAGTTTTTACAAGTACTGTCATAGTACGGTTAGGAACCTAAATACAGCAGAGTATTTGGACTTCTGTAAGAAAGAGAAACCTTTCCTATTTTACAGGCAAGTAGCAGTTGCCATTTTTAGGAGGAAAAATAAGACCTGGAGGGCACATTTCCCTTATAGTATTATGCTTGTTTACTAGTGTCCAAGCAACAAAACGTACCATTCCTGTCACCTACTACACAAGTACAGTAACTCAGTGATAAACATGAAAAAAAAAAGAGTAGGAGGGAATGAGGCAAGAGCTGCAAGGAAGTTACCAAGCTTTCCTCGTAGTCCTCAGCTTTAGGATTAACGCACACAATCATACGCACTTTCCCTTCCCCATCAAAATAGTTCTTGAAGAGATGAGTCAGTTTGGAATCTCTGTACGGGACCATCTGAAAATAAAGTACATGAAAGATCCAGTAAGCTTTCATTACATCAGATCTTCATCAAAACAAAAGATAATTAGATAATGGGTTGCATACCTTATTTGTTCCATACATCTGGTTTTCCCGTAGAACTTCGATGCATGTTCTTAATGTCATTAGGGACTGATTAATATTACCTTAAAAAAAACCCCACGAGACAAAAAGACTCTGTAAGAAGCCATTTGGATCACGTTACCAAATTATTTAGCAGTCTACTTAAAAAAACAAATCACCTGGACTTGTTATACTTGTTAGAGATAACTGCTCTAATTCACTGAAGTATCAGAATAAGTACTACTAAAAATGTTTGGTTTCCAATGCAGAGGATCTAAAGTCACCAGATCAGACAACAAAACATCACAGAGCAGTTTGATTCTTCCTCTGATGTCTTCACTAGGAGATAATACCGATATGAGCACATATTACAGAATCACAGAATCGCTTGGTTGGAAAAGCCCTCTGAGATCATCACGTCCAACCGCTCCTGTTTACCCCTAAACCATATCCTTAAGTACCTCGTCTACCCGCTCTTTAAACACATCCAGGGATGGTGACTCCACCACCTCCCTGGGCAGCCTGTGCCAGCTTCTGACGACCCTCTCAGTAAAGAACTTCCTCCTTATCTCGAACCTGAACCTCCCTTGGCACAGCTTGGTGCCGTTTCCCCTTGTTCTATCCCCCATCACCTGGGAGAAGAGACCAGCACCCACCTCTCTACAAGCTCCCTTGAGGCAGTTGTAGGTGGGGATGAGGTCTCCCCTCAGCCTTCTCTTCTCCAGGCTAAACAAGCCCAGTTCCCTCAGCCGCTCCTCATCAGGCTTGTTCTCCAGAGCCCTCCCCATCCTTGTGGCTCTTCTCTGAACACGCTCCAGAATCTCAACATCCTTCTTACAGTGAGGGGCCCAGAACTGAACACAGCACTCGAGGTGCAGCCTCACCAGTGCCAGGTACAGGGGAATTACAGTACAGGATATTAGCACATCCAATTCCCAGGCTGTCCAAAGGAGTTAACGTACCTGCTTCTCGCAACCTGCTCCCTTCAGCTTTTGTTCTGTTTGTCCTTTCACTGCCAGCCAGATCAACCAAAGACAGCTGGCTTAAAGTGATCTGTTCCTTCTCCTGTTACAGAAAACAAGTACTGTTAGAAGGAATATAGAGCTAACATCAGCCTAACGGTGTGGGTGGAACACCCCATCCCCTAAACCAGCATGCACACCTCGAAAGAATTATGCATTGCACCTTTCAATAACGTCTGAGGGTGTTTTTACAGCCCTTAACGCAAGCAGCTGTGCAGCACTAGCTGGTTTTTTTGTGAGAAAATTTAGCAGATCTCTTCTGTCTTGGGACACAAGATTGATAAAAACAACCACGCTCATTCAAATCCTCCAAGTTTTAGATTCTTAACAGCTTTTGCTCAAAAGCTGAGGTACAGAACAAAGGAACAAGCAGCTTCGCTCTCCATTTTAATGCTCTACTTTCATGACAAAAAGGAGACCAATTCTGTCAAAGACTAGAAACTTAATAATTCTAAATTCCTTCAAAATGAATTGCTAAGGAGCAGTATGTGTACACTGGAGACACGGGAACTGTTTTAGCCCGTCATGCTGCAAGGTTCACCCCATTTTCTAACCTACGTATATGCACAGCCACCCCGAAATTCACCTGGAGCACGTTGTCTCCATCTGCATCCAGAGGTGCCTGAGCCAACTTGATTATAAAAACACTGTGAGAGCGACTAGACTCTCGGTTCAGCTGCGTGTTTGCAATACGCCTCTTCTTTTGACCTGTTCAGAAGAAGAACAAAAACAATCCCTCCAAAAACCTGCTTTATTTAACAGACCTGCCACCTGGCAAAGCCAACTGTTTTCAGCACGTTAGTGTAAAGGGTGACACAGGCATACTGAATGTAAGAAGTTAATATTGTAAGATTTACCTCTCCAAAACACTTCGAAAGCTTCCTCTGTAGATTTCACCTCTACTTCTGTGCATCCTGTGACATACATGTTGTGGTTCTGGTCCTCACGAAGGATTTTGGACTGCGGAGGTCTTCATAACAGGGAGGAAGTAAACCAAAAACATTATCATTGAGTGGCGTTTTCTGTACAATACACTGTGTCATACAAATTCTCTTTTGTTTAAGTACAAAATTCAGACTGAATATGTGAATTACCCACGCAGCAGATGGAAGAGGAAGCACAAGTACACGGACACACATTCAGCCAAGATTAGTTACACTTCAGCTACTGCTTTAATTTAGAAGCTACATTTAATTGCAATTCCTACTGGAAATCACGGGTTTGGGTAGCAGCGATTGTTTTTCTACAAGCACACAGAAGTGAGATGGCTTCAACACCGTTCTAGATGTGCTAGTAAAGCAAGAAGGGATAGGCAGTGAGTCTGAGTTTATTTTCTGCTTCTACCAAAAGAAAAAAAAATCACTTAATATTGGGATTAATATGCTTATGCACATACATAAAGTCACCATTTCGCACAGGAGTGTTGCAATTGTTCCACCTACCAAAAAAACAGGGTTAAAATACATTAAGTCATTCAGCTTATGCCTAAAAATCTTTTTATCTATAATACTTTGCAGTTTCCACAAATAGAAATAATTCAAGAGTCTTTGCAGGCTGATTTTTGGACATACACACGATACTAAACCAAATCATTCTATTCTTCTTTCAAAAGCATTCACGGACATTCAAGCTCATTTCAAATCAGTACCTTGGAGACAGCTCTGGATGTTTCAGAGCAATGGCTTGTTTTGCTCCAGTTAGTCTTTGTAAATCAGCCAACTCTTTAATTAACACGAGTACTGGTGGATACACACAGGGTTTTCTTTAATGGATTTAGAATTTTTTAAATATATTCGAAGTTAAATTGGCAGACTTTTTCTGATGGTCTCAAAATTTACTGATTTCAGAACTCAGCCAAGTATACACCTTTCCAAAAAATGCCCAGGATTTCACTTTTGAGACTACTCATTTATGTCTCAATGGAAATTATTGGCATCAAGTGAAATCACAAGCAAACTTGTGTTGACTGTTAAGCAACAGCAGAGCAGCAGCTTTCACCCAATGCACTTTTCCAGGAGAAAACTGTCGTCTGGGGCATGGTTTCCTCCTGAAGCTGCAGTCAGCTACTAGGAACAGTAGTCACAGCTCAGCATGAATAGACTTAGAATCTCAGGGGGATACAACTGCCTATCCAATTAAATAAGTGCTTATTCATCTCCCATTGTAATGGGGAAGGGAGCAACAAGTCTTAGCAGCAACAGGACAACCACAGGCACTAGGCACACTTAAATAACTATTGCCTGGACTACTTGGCCATCCCCTTTTCCGTGTGATTTTTGAAGAGATTTCCATGAATTGAGCCAGACTCTGCAAGACTACAGCCACAAAGATGTAGCACAGTTCCAACAAAAACATGACTGAAGTAAGAGTTAAGGTAGTCATAAAACTAACTTGGGTTTTATAGGCTCAAAGGGATTTTCCTCCAAGAGGTCATAGATGTAGTTGTTGTAGATCTCAATATAGGAGACGAAGACGCTGTAGACGTTATCTTCGTCAACTTCTTCCACTTTGCAGTGATCTTGCACGTTGATCATATCAGCAAATTCCGGATCTATTTGTCGCCTGTTGAACACACACAGGAGGTGATTGCAGTGGAGCATCCACAGCCAACTAACATCAGACAGCGACTATAAATTAAAAAGCAGTCTACTGACAGATGGCATAATTCAAGTATGGAGTGCTCACACTAACCACTAATGACAACACATTCAGTCACATCAGATTGAAAAAAAGCACTCTGAAAAGTTTAAACAGATAAACTTTCACCTGACACTGCTGTACCTGTAAGAAATGCCTCACAGAATTCCTGGACAGTCAGCATTTCTTTCCTCCATTCAGCAGTCTCACTATTTCACAAAGCATCCCCAATTTAACTTCACAATATTCCTATCACAGAATATGAGGAGTTGGAAGGGACCTCGTAAGATCATCCAGTCCAACCCCCCTGCCGCAGCAGGAACACCCAGATGAGGTTACACAGGACGGCGTCCAGGCGGGTTTGGAATGTCTGCAGAGCAGGAGACTCCACAACCTCTCTGGGCAGCCTGGGCCAGGGCTCTGTCACCCTCACTGAGAAGAAGTTTCTTCTCCAATTGAAGTGGAACCTCCTGTGTTCCAGTTTGTGTCCGTTACCCCTTGTCCTATCATTGTTTGTCACCAAGAAGAGCCTGGCTCCATCCTCGTGACACTCACCCTTTAAATATTTATAAACATGAATGAGGTCTCCCCTCAGTCTCCTCTTCTGCAAACTAAAGAGACCCAGCTCCCTCAGCCTTTCCACATAAGGGAGATGTGCATAAGGTCACACAGGAACAAACTACTGTGCCTACTCGGCAAAGTCACAGCATTTTACTCATGGGTTAACAGGTACAAAAAAGAGACATGCTGCATGATTCTAAGTCTTCTGATCTAAATACCTAATTATGCAATTGCACATGAAACACACTAACTTTCCATTAATGTTTTTCTTTCTTTTCTTCAAGAGAAAGATCGAGAGACAAGGCAAGTTAAAACCACCATAACACAACAACATTTATACTAACTAAATTCAGTCCACGTGTTACAATAGTTACTCACTTGCCAGATGGAGTTTTTGGAACAGGCATGGCATCTCTTTTCTGGCGCTCTAATAGAGCGTCTACTTCACACTGAACATCCACACCATTCTTGTCGTCAAGCTTAAAAACCTGTGCAGTGAGTATAGCGTGGTGAGATAATATAATGACAAATGCTAGAGAACATAAGGTGTTGGCCAGCAAAACAAATTACTTGATCAAGCTGTCTGGCAATCAGCAAATATCATTCTCCTCTCTAACACTCGTTCTGCTGGCTAATGCACAGAAGATCTGACAGAAAACAGATCCTTCCAAGAAAACAGCTATTTCATAAAAGCTTCCAAGCTAGCATGCTACTAAGGAAAGCTTCCAGTATTATTTTGAATGTATTTAGATACCAAAACTCCAGACATGTTTGACCACAAGAAAAGCCTCACATCGTGTCCTATATTATTTTAGATATGGTTTCCTGTGTTTTTTGTATCTTGTGCTTGGATTTTATTTCACATCTCAGAAAGCTTCCTCTTTCCTTTTTTATTGTTTAAAAAGTTAGAATGAGTGATAGCTGCAAGGACAACCAGACCACACATCTTCATGAATGGCTGCCATAGCTACTACCCCTGTCTCCTTGTCTCTCCTCTTCAAATCTCAGAGGAACAGGTTCTTTGTGGTTGGTTTTCTTTTTAAAGTGTTCCAGTCACGTTATTAGACAGGAGATACTTGGAGCAGAACCTTTTTCCCCTACGGTTTTTAGACTGTTACAAACATCATGGAGAATTCAGTGCAAAACTACTCACAAATCGCTTGGCCTGGAATGGTCCTATGCTGTTGAAGATCATATCCAAACACCGTGGGAGAAGTCCTCCATCACCAGGAGATCCTGTCATGGTGTGGGTTTTCCCACTGCCTGTCACACCGTATGTAAAAAGGAGACCTAGGAGGGACAGGAAAGTCAGGTATTCGTGTTTGCTGTCTCAAGAAAATGCCCAGTTATCATCAGATGCTCTGTCTCTCTTGGGTCAAATGGATTAGAAAACACAATGACTCCTTCTGAACAGTTAACAGTAAACTATTCCAGCCCATCAGTGGTGTTTGCATCTCTCACTGATGGCCACTTCAGCTACAACCGTGCCTATCAACATCTTTGGGGAGAGTGCATTTGGAAGTCGAGCCAGAAGAGAGCCACTAAGTCCCAGATGGAGAGGGATGATTTATTGACTGTTACTGAGGTGTCTGACATAAGAATCAACACCACAGTATCAAGCCATGCCCAGGAGATTTGACCTACAAATTGATTTATTTCTGTAGTAATTTTTTAGGTGGATAAGTCAGCCCTTTCTGCAGACAAAAAGCTTTGGTCAACAAAACAATTAGACCTTGACATAAGTTATACACACGTCACAACAAAGGTAAAGAGGTTTAGAAGTAAAGAAAGGCAGGAAGAGCTTCCAAAGGTGTTGTGTAGGGTAACTGAACCACAACTATTCCAATTGCAAACAAGGTACACGCGTTTTTACCCAGGCAAGCGAAGAAACCTGGAGACACACAAAATCCTAGCAATATAAAAGAACCCTGCATGGCAGACAGATGGAAAAGCAGCAGAGAACAAATACTCGCTTACCATTTTTCCCACGAATGAGATCTTCCACTAGAGGTTTAGCCACCACATCAAAAAGTGTCTTCTGAACAACGAGGGTGCCAAACACTTCTTTAAATGAATATTGCGTCTGAAGAAAAGAAAGATACATCACCCTAAACCTTCAAGTTTCCCTGCCCAGAGTCCACTGCTTCAAAACACCCCATTGCTTCATACTTTGAAACTGCTCTCCATAAGTTCACCAGGACAACAAAGATGCTACTTTAGGATTAGGCTGGTGTCTGAACGTGGGCAGTATTCAGAGAATAAGATGTGCATAACAAAGAGCAGCAATTGTCTCCTTTTCACAGAGCTTATGTCCAGAAATAACCAGAACCACCACAAAGCCCGACCTCCCCACAGAATCTCACAATTCACAGCTTCAAGCTCAATTTCCATTTGAGCTCCAACCTTCATCCACACAAGCACCGAGCAAAGCAGCACCCACAATGGCCACAGTTGAGCTCTTCCAGCACTTAATCATTTTGGTTTAAGATCCCATCTTTTTCCAGTCTAGCCTATAATCCCAGTCACAGATTTTCAATATTTTTTTAATTATTCTGGTCATTTTTCAATTAAAACACCGACGGCTAAGAAAAGAACCTTGACTCCCAATTCCAGGCTGGAAGGCAGCCCCTCGGGCCCAGCACAGCTCCGAGGCGGAGGGCACATGCACAGATCCCCCCGCCGACCCCTGAGCCGTTACCTCCCGGTACTCTCCGTTGCGGAATATCCTGTATCCATCGGGCGGGTGGATCTGCACCGTGGTCTCGTTGATCACCTCGATACAGCACTCCTGGTCTGGGCGGCTGAGCGGCCGCACTCTGCAGTACACCTGGGGAAGGGGACACACAGCGCCCGCGGCCCTCAGAGCGGCCCTGGGGG